GGTGGAGTGGGTGGTAAGGGAGGGGGTGGGGGCAGGGGGGAGAAATGAACCAAGCCTTGTATGCACATATGAATAATAAGAGAAAAAGGAAAAAAAAAAGTTATAAAAGATTTCCAATAACTTGGGCAGGTTCAACCCCAATCACTAACCAAAAGAAAGAGAGGAAGTGGGGGTAAGGAAGGAAGGGGAGAGAAGGGGGGAAGGGAGGAAATGGGAACATGCATAGGTCTGGAAGTGTCACTCCGTGGTAGAACACATGCTTCGCCTGTGCAAGGCTCAAGTTTCAATCCTCATTACCAAAAATGTTTCCACTATTTTAAATGCCTTTTACTTTTAAGCTAATGTAGAATTTTTTCCCCCCTCTGGAGGTATCATTAGAAATCTTTTACGACATCTGCATTCATTTAATTATATTAAAGACAACAGACTTCAAAGACCTAATCAGACTAATAGATTTGCTTATTTAGCCTTTGCCTATTTTGTTTAATTAAAGCCTTGAGTTTTATGGGATGATATCTTTTTTTTGTTTTGTTTTCACTTTTAATTTAAGTGATAAAAATAATTAACTTGAAAGAACAGATCGTTTTGTTTTTAAGAGTCAGGAAGAGCTTGCAAAGCTTTTTAAAGAGTCTGTTTGGCAGTAGAACTAGTAGTATATAATTGATTTCCATAAGGGGGAAGGTTGGTAAACCTGAGTGAAGAAGTGATTATATCTCAAATTTTAATTTGACAGCTGTTATAATAATTTTTTTATGTTACTTTTAGCAGCATCCAATAAAAAGATACAGTAGTATCTTCTGGAAACTGTTTTGCAATGTTTTATTTGTACTCCTGTACTACTACATTATGCAGAATGGGAAATAATACTCTCAGATACTCTCTACAGTTCATGTACGGCATTGTAGTAGTGGAAAGATGATAAGAGGAGATGAGGCACCAGAAGACCAGTGAAAGTATCAACTCCTTTATTTTCAAAGGCCTACTCTGCTTCTTCCCAGCTGTGTGACCTCAGCTTCTCGGAGTCTCAGTTTTTCCCTGGGAAAAACGGGGCTAATAATTCCTCTATAGCATTATTGTGGGAGTTAAATTGAAATTCTGTATGTAAAATCATAAGGTTAGGCACTTACAAATGTTATTTCCTTGTAAAATAAAAAATCACAGATCACCAGATTACAGCACTAGACTTACAAGAATTAGATATTGCAAAAGAGCTGAAAGCCTGATGTCAGAGAGGAATAAGAGGGGGCCCTGCGGTATAAATAAATTAATCACACACATGCACATATACTTTAAAGCCACCCATGTACTACAATGTTGAGATCAGTGGTTTTCTACATGCAGTTTAACTTGTGTTTCCTCCTAACATATCTGTTTGTTTCCTTCTCTAGGATCAGCAAGTTTATGAAAGACAAAGAACAAAGTTCTCTGCTCATTACACTTCTCCTTGCATTTCTTCACCGTGGCAATATTGCTCAGGTACAAATTCAGAGGACACTTACTTTGTCTTTGAAGTGGCACTTTGTCACTCAATTTAATTGAAAGGAGCAATTTTATTGACTAGAGTCTGTGATGGATCTGTCTCAAGGAGCTTGCACTATGCAGAAATGAGAAGCTTGAACTAAAGGGAATAACTTGGGACAGAAATAGAATGGGGACAGACAAGAAAGTGGAGACATCACCATCTGCATAACAGTGAAAGTATCAACTCCTTTATTTCCCTTTGTTTAGCTTTGAATTCATTTCAAGGTTTTTTTTTTTTTTTCCTCTCTGACTTTAATCAATAACAGGTGGAATCCAAGAAGTGCATTGCATACTTGGAAATATAGATCATAGTGGCAAAACTGAGCGAAAATCAGGCATTTAATATTCAGACATAGCTAAAAGTTTCTGATGGTTCTCAAACCTTAATTCACTCTCAAGAGTCCTCCAGGGGATCAAGAGCATTTATGTCATGAGGGCAACACTGAACATCTTTCAACACATAGTAATTCAGGGTTTTGTTTGTTGATTTTTTTGAGGGGGGTGGCATTAGTAGGGTTTGAACTCAGGGCCTTGTACTTGCTAGGCAGGCACTCTCCACTTGAACCACAACTCCAGCCTGTAATTCAATTTTTAAGATCACAAATAAGAATCTGTTTTTTGTCAGCAAGATCACTTTGTTAGCTCTTTTTTGACTACACAATAGAAGAAATTATGTTTCAAAAGCACATATGTTCTATTAGAATTAAAGGACACTTACTTCTTAACTATGAGTAATTATTTCCAATGTTTTGATATTAAAAATACAAATGGACAGTTTTATGATGTACTGAAATATGATTTCTCATCATTTTTCAGGATACAGAGGTTGATATTCTGGTGACAGTGCAAAACCTATTACAACATTGTCTGGATCCTACAAGCTTTCTCAAGCCTCTAGCCAAACTCTTTTCCATTATTAATAACAAGTTGTCAAGACAGTTGCTTTGTACAGTTTTCCAGGTACGTAATATACATTTTACCCCAAATCACCTTTTCTTTAAAAGATAATCGTGACACGTTTCAGAATATCAGAGCAGCCTTTTTTGTACCAGTATGATTTTATATGAATTTGAGTGGAAATAGGGAACAGAGGTGAAGAGGTCAGCAAAGTTACAGTGTTGTTCACTAATAATTGTGCTGTTCTTTCCTTTTAGAGTCTTTCTGATTTTGAGAGTGGACTCAGATATATTACAGACACTGTCAAGGTAAACAAAATGTTCACTTCTCTTCTCAAAGTATTATCAATCCTGTTTACTTAAGATCCGTACCCCTTCAATTATATGGCCTCGTTGTCATTTCCCATAGCTTAATGCCTTTGATCAAAGACACCTCGATGATATCAACTTTGACGTCCGCTTCGCAGCATTCCAGACCATCACTTCCCATATCAAAGAAATGCAAACTGTGGATGCTAACTACCTGATTCCGGTTATGCATAATTGTTTCTATAATATGGAGGTAGGCTTTTATAACAAAAGTTTGTTTTTATTGTTCTGATAATACAACTACCTAATACAATGACTTAATTTTTAAGTTTGTTTTAGAATGAATTTTATTTTTGAAGTAGAACTTTTTTGCTTGTCAGAGGGCTTATTGTTATATGATTTGAAAGACATGTATTTCAACAAAATATGTGGAAGCTTTTTTTAAAAAAAAGCAAAAAGCTGTGTATTAGTTGGGCATGGTGATACACACCTAGAATGCCAGCACTCCAGAAACTGATTCAGGAGGAACACAAGTTTGAGGCCAGCCTGAGCTACATAGCAAGGCCCTATCTCAGATAAACAAAAAATAAATATATAAAATCAATTAATGTAAAGAAAACAAAGGTATGTGTTAGAATAGAAAAATCCATGCAGACAGAATGTAAATTAATGTTTCCAAAAGGCTACAGGAATGAAGGAATGTATGACTTATAATGGGTGTCAAGTTTCTTTCAGAAGTGATGAAAATCTGAAATCAGGTTTAGAGTACAGCTCAATGGTAGAGTGCTTACCTAGCTTATGTGAGGCCTGAAGTTTAATCTCCAGTACTGAGAAAAAAAAAATTTACACAACCTTCTTAATGTACTAAAATCTATTAAATTGTACAAACTTTAGAAGTGTAAACTTTATGATACCTCAATTATTACTTAAAGTTTTCCCCTTTTTTTATTGAAGATACACTAGACATAAAACACATTTAAGCCGTGCACCAGTGGCTCACACCTGTAATCCTAGCTACTCAGTAGGCAGAGATCAGAAGGATCGAGGTTCGAAGCCAGCCTGGGCAAATAGTTTGTATGACCCTATCTCAAAAAAACCCCTTCACAAAAAAGGGCTGATGGAGTGGCTCAAGGTGTAAGCCCTAAGTTCAAACCCCAGTACAACAATAACATCAAAAAGTTTAAATTATAGTAAGTGCCATGTTGTTGTACTGAAATTAAATCCCAAAGTAGAGGAAATTAAACCCATAATTACTGTTGAGTGTGTGGTAGCATCAGTAACCTCCATAGGATTTTATAGTCATTCATCTGATACAGGAATTACGTAATGTAATAGTTCTTCCATTTGGGGCTCACTCTCAACATATCATGAAGAATGATGTGTGAAAAAGTCTAAATCACTGCCTAGCTGGCTGAGGTAGGAATACATTCTCTTCATTCACAGTCTACATTCCTTAAGCTGACAGCCCTGGACAGCTAACCAAAATGACACCATTCAAACTGTATCATTTTCCATGATGATCTGATACTGAAAACTGACTTTAGTGAACCTTTTATTGTGTTTGCTTTGGGAAGTAAAACTAGTTTTAAAATATGCTTCGTAGTATTTCCTGAAATTAAGGGATAGTTCTCAAAAGCATAATATTTCAAAATCACTTATTCTATTTCTCATATCCTTCCATCTGGTTCTTCTTGAGGTATATAGCATTTGTGGGACATTTTTTAAACAAAGCACTGACAGAATTTGACTTTCTTGGGAAATCATATTCCTAGGAATATTAATTTTTACCTTGAGTTCTTTTTCCTATTTTTAAGTTAGGAGATATGTCTTTAAGTGACAATGCCAGCATGTGCTTAATGAGTATCATCAAAAAGCTAGCTGTCTTGAACATCACAGAGAAAGAATATAGGGAAATCATTCATCGTTCACTCCTGGAGAAACTGAGGAAAGGGTTGAAGAGCCAGACAGAGGTATTGTAACTTTGTCTTTTGAGTGCCACCATCTGTGGTTTGGTTTGGTTTTTCCCTCTTCTGCTATTGCTGTATATTTAGTTAAAATACTTGCTTATCTAATTAGTCATCAAACTTTTTAACAGGGTTGGGAATGGGGGAAAAAAAAAGCCACATTTTTTTAAAGTTTTACATAGTTACTTAATTGATTTTTGTAGTAGAAATGTTTTATTTTTTAACAATTACAATGGCTTTTTTTGTTCCACTTCGTATTGCCTAGCAAACAGATTCTTTATAAATGTTTTTTTCCTCAACTTGATATTTGCAGAGTGTTCAACAGGATTATACCATGGTACTTTCCTGTTTGATTCAAACCTTTCCAAATCAACTGGAATTTAAAGACTTGGTGCAGCTTACTCATCAACATGATCCAGAAATGGACTTCTTTGAGAACATGAAGCATATCCAGGTAAAAGATAATTCTGCTTTTCCTTGCCTTCAAAATAAGCATTTCAAACAATTCATTTAGAAACACATACTTTGAGGTTTAATCTTCCTGTGCCGTAGTCTCCCTGAGTGTCTGTCAGATTTACACATAAGATGATCATTTCCTGTAGTCTGAATTTTTTGGTTATATCACAAACCATAAATAATAATAGTGTCACCCTTCTCTGTCCTTTCCTAATAAGTTTCAGTGTTACGGAATCCGTTGTTAAACATGCTGTAGATGATGTTTCTAGACACAAATCAAGGCCCAGGCGATTGGTCACGTAACACACGGCCTGTGCTGATCTCTCCTTTAATCTTCTCATGGATGATGAGCATGGTGCTGAGGGGGAGCTGGTTGAAGGTGAGATCCTTCAGTAACTAACACATATTTATCCTGACTTACAGATTCACAGACGAGCAAGAGCCTTAAAGAAACTGGCAAAACAGCTCCTGGAAGGCACAGTTGTGCTGTCTTCTAAATCTCTTCAGAATTACATCATGCCTTATGCCATGACTCCAATTTTCGATGAGAAAATGCTCAAGGTAAGGGATTAGATCACATACTGACATGCTTTGCCAAAATGGAGTTGGACTTGGTGGCATCCATAGTGCTGTCATCATAATTGGAAGATTAGAATAGTTCTAAACCCCTTAGAGTATGCCTGACACCTAATAAAGGCTATAAAAAAGGTAACTGTTCTTTTCACGTTTGGTACTATTACACATAAGGGCCAACCACAAAGTATTCCCCTCCTAGAAATGTTCATGGTACTGTGATGATATATTTTTATTTTTCTATCACAGGACTTAATTCTGGTAAACTCCACTGATTGAAGAGCCAGTATTTTCCCAAATGGTTCCTAAGAGATAAAACAAAACAATAACTACCTTTCACATGGTAGCAGGTACCAGGCAAAATTCTAAGTACTTGACTAATGTAATCATAGCACCACCTCACCATGACTCACCTTTATGGGATAAGGACTGTTTCACAGGAGAAGAAACTGAGACTAGGTGAGACTGTAACTTTAACAAAAGCACAGAGTCAGAACTGGTATTTGACCATCTTACCAATTCTACTCCACAGTGCCCAGAACATTGCCTGGTACCTGGTAAAGACTACTTAAGAATTTATTGATTAAATAAATTAGTAAAAGGCAGAGTTTATACATTGTCACAGTGATTCACATCTGTTAGGGTTTGTGACTTAAATTTATACTGTTGATTACGTGACCTGTGTAATAATAGATTTTATTGTTTTAGGATATTCAAAAATAAAAGCATTATCTGAGTAGTTAAAAGAGTAATCTCTCCTTTCTTTCTACCTTTATTTACTTTCTTGAGATTATGTTGCCCAGGTCTTTTGTTTGTTTGTTTTTTATTCATATGTGCATACAATGTTTGGGTCATTTCTCCCCTCTTCCACCTGCTCCCTCCCTTACCTACCCCGACCCCTCCCTCTCCCCCCCCCACACACCCTCACTACCAGGAAGAAACTATTTTGCCCTTATCTCTAATTTTGTTGAACAGAGAGTATAAGCAATAATAGGAAGGACCAAGAGTTTTTGCTAGTTGGGATAAGGATAGCTATACAGGGAGTTGACTCACATTGCTTTCCTGTACATGTGTATTACCTTCTAAATTAATTCTTCTCAAACTAATCTTTTCTCTAGTTCCTGGTCCCCTTCTCCTATTGGCCTCAGGTGCTTTTAAGGTATCTGCTTTAGTTTCTCTGCGTTGAGGGCAACAAATGCTATCTAGTTCTTTAGGTGTCTTACCTATCCTCACCCCTCCCTTGTGTGCTCTTGCTTTTTTCTTGTGATCAAAGTTCAATCCCCTTGTTGTGTTTGCCCTTGATCTAATTCCACATATGAGCGAGAACATAGGATTTTTGGTCTTTTGGGCCAGGCTAACCTCACTCAGAATGATGTTCTCCAATTCCATCCATTTACCAGCGAATGA